TTTCCTTTAGCGATCCTTACGAATGAGCATGGTCAGTGATAGAAATATTTACCTCTTGTGGCGATTCAGACCTTTGTTGTTGTGATCACGAGCGTTGATGAAGAACAACGCCTCTACTCAGTCCACACGAACACATCGCTTCCGGTCACAGTACTAGCTGATCACGAACGGAAACCTTGAGTGAGAGAGAGAATCAAAAACGAAATTGCATCAAGTGAAATTGCTTCATCACAAGGGATCTATTTATAGAATCACTCGTGTGGGCTACAAGCTAAAAGCCCAATTAAGACTATAAGCTAAAAGCCCAATTAAGCTTATGGACATCATACCTTATGATGTACCATATATCACTTATCCACGTGGTACCTTACCACTTTCCGTATTACACTTAAGTGCACCGTACCTTACGGTGTTCCTTATTTATTCTATCTCTCATCAACCTGTCCTTATGTGTGTGACCCTGTAGGTTTTCGCGACGTTGGCAATTATATTAAATCACACATTTAATATAATAAACAGTGAGCGGTATCTAGCAACACATCACTGTTACCCAAGTCACGAAAATGTCATGTGATCTGACCAAACCTTTTCCGTGATAATATTTGTGTTGTACAATTACCCTTTTGCCCTCATGTCTGTATTGAACACAAGGCATACACTGTGTCGCCCTTGTCCAATTCAATATTGGGCCCTTAGACATTTATCCTGTTATGCAGGATAAGCAAATTCCATCTAGGTCACTCATGTCCCTTAGCATGATTTGTGAAGTACCCATCAACCGTCTTTATAGTCATCCAGTTACGGATGACGTTTGATCAGCAATAAAGTACTTGACTCTACATCTAGGGTCCATAGTGGTTTCAGGTCGAAGGGTGGTATACACCATTATCATCATGAGAATAACTTATGACACTTTGCATAACATTCTATGTAGTATTCTCATAGCGGGTCAATCCAGTATAAATATTACTCCTAATATTCATACCTATGTCAAGACTTGATAACTCCTTATCTATGATCCATGAGATGTGATCATCAATCTATCTTCATAATAATCTTAATGGTTTAATGTTATCCCACTTCACATTAAAGCTTGACTACGGATACTTTAAAAATAGTGTCTTATGTTTAATGCGATCTCATGATTAAGTCACACTTAACATTTCATTAAGCCAATAAACCATTCTAGGGACTTTATTATTTTGGAAAGCAAACATAATAAAGAAATGCCTTTTATTATTAATAAATAATTCGATACAAGTACCAAAAGTATTGGCCTCTAGGGCTTACACCAACAGTCTATATCCAATAGGCTGATGCCAACTTCTAGCAACTGCAGACTGATACCCTTCCATGGAGATCACATAGTTAATGAACTTGAAATTACGCTTCTTATCCTGAAGATGTCCAAGTGTAGGATCTAAACATAAAAATGCATGATCAAATATACCAGGTTGCATGTAGTGCAAAGTGGTGGACATATATATCTGGAACCAGTCTACATTAGCCAGGACCCTATCAATTCTGGAATATATAACCCCATCAACCTGCTTATTGTACCAAGAGAATTGAGTACCCACATTATCCATCTTAGCAACCCAGTAATCTCCATCATATCAACCAGGTCCACATACTGCCTTTCAGTCACAATATTACCTCCAAACCTGTCACTAGCCTTCACAATATTGTTGAAATCTCCAATGAGCACCCAAGGTCCTTGTTGAGAGTTGGCAAACAGTTGAATGTCCCTCCATAACCCTTTTCTAACCTCCAACTTATTAGAAGCATATATGGCAGAAAAGTAGTGCATGAAATTATCCCCGGTATCATAAATTCCTCCATGAATCATTTGCATAGAACTACTAATGCACTTGAAATCTACACGATTATGATCCCAGTATATCCAAATCCTCCCATTATAGTGATCATTATAGTTATCTATATACATACCTTTCAACTTTAGCTTATCTCTAACTTTCCGAGCTTTGTCATGCTTGACTCTAGTCTCAATTATCACATTAATTCTAGGGTTTAGATTGTAGAGGAGGGAGCTTACCTCTTTAGTCTTCACCCCCTTATTCAGACCCCTCACATTCCATGGAACAATCATGGAACAACTTTGTGTCTGCCAAGGGGATCCTTCAAAATACCTAGCATCCCAAAACCATTTTGACAATGAAGAAGGTTTAATGTTGATCCTTCTCAAACTATATGATTTCCCCTATCTCTGCAATTTGAAGTAACATGAGTCCACTCTGGCTAAGTCACCCTGAGTTCTCTGCTTTTCCTTCATCCTTTTCCTCTTCCTGTTTGGCACTCATAACAGTAGCTTTTGGCTTCCATTCTTTAGGAGGCTTCTCTCTCTTTTTCATACAGTCATGCCCAAAAAGCTAACACTTTCCACAATACACAAGTCTCCACATACTCAACAGGGTGCTGTATACTACTGCCTTCAACATCTTGAATGGTGATTTCCTTAACAAGCTCTTGTGTGATGTCCACCTTAACCAGTATCCTAGCATACGAGACTCATAATTTGCTAGCTGTGCATTCATTAGTAACGATTGGGTTTCCAAGGGCGCTTCCAATCTTCCCAGGCTGTTAGCTCCCCACAGGTATAGAGGTAACTGAGGGAATTTCACCTAAATCGGGACCGTACGTAACATATCCCTTTTCAAGTTGGAATTAGGTCTCCAATCAGTCAACAATATAGGCATGTTGCGTATGGTATATGGGCCGTTCGCAAGCACTTAATCCTTCTTCCGGATTGACTTGAATCACAGAATAAAATACCCTTCCACATTGAAGAACATGTCCGGTAACGTCACAAAATTCCAGGATTTCATCATGTATTGCTTCACTGCGTTCATGCTTAAGTCACCACCAAACACATACATGATGAGCGCAAATTCCCAAAATCTTAACTCCGGAATCACATCTTCCTCTTCAATCTCTACTACAACCGTTCCATTGATAATCTTTGATGCCACAAAGCAAATTGCCATTCCTTTAGCAGGGTTTCTATTCTCATTGATCACATCCACCCATAGCTTCTTCACCTATATTTTTTCCCATCATACTCTGCGATTAGGGTTTCAGCACTCTTTCCTTTCCCTTCCGCAGTCAACAGTTCACAAGTATTGGTCTTCTCAACTTCATTATCCTCATCTGCAAGCACAACAGAACTCCGGTGAACCTTTACAGACGTCGGTGTCGATGGCGATGAAGGCACCTTCGGTGGCCGCCCTCTCCTCTCCGACCCCATTCCACTATTATTATTATTATTATTATTATTATTATTATTATTATTATTATTATTATTATTATTATTATTATTATTATTATTATTATTATTATTATTATTATTATTATTATTATTATTATTATTATTATTTAATTATTATTATTAATATTATAATTATTATTTATTTAACTATTATTATTATTATCATTTTAATTATTATTATTATTATTATTATTATTATTATTATATATTTGAGTTTTTAACTTATTTTTGAGTAATTTTTGTTAATTAGTCTAAAAAAATTACTAAATATTATTAATTAAAGTGATAAATCAATTTCTTGTCACTTAGTTGGCATCGTATATAGAATACAAAATGGATATTATAGAATTTCAACTTGGACCATTGGTTATGCAAAGCTTTATTAGTAAAACTAATGTTTTAATTCGTGGAACATGATAAGGCATGTGTCATTTTGCATATTTAAAAAAGTGATTTTATCTTAGTATTTTTTTAAAAATGTTTTTGTAAACATTTATTTCAAAATGCTTAAAGTCATTTTAAGTTCAATTAGTACAAATTAAAAATATATATTTTATCGTCAATTAATTTAATTATTAAAAATTGAATAAAAAAGAAAAAAAATTAAAATTGTGATTTAAATTTAAATATTCATTATTAAAGATATCAATATGATACAAATTATATAATTTTTTTCAAAAGATATATATTAAAATTATTTTGTTTTAAAAAAGTTATTCAAATTTGTTACAAATTTAAATAATTTTCAAAGTTTTGTTTTCTAGGAAAAACCATTGTAAAAAGACATAGTCAATTATTTAAAGTTAATTTTTATGAGAAATTATTTTAATCAATTATTTTGTTTGAATTTCAAAAAAAAAAACTTTTAATTAAGTTATAATGAAAAATAAAATTCTTATATATATATATATATATATATATATATATATATATATATATATATATATATATATATATATATATATATATATATATATATATATATATATATATATATATATATATATATATATATATATATATATATATATATATATATATATATATATATATATATAAATCCTAACAAAAAAGGCTCTAAATATAATCTAAAAATTAGTTCCTATTTGACTATAAATAATTCTTGATGTTAAATATTCATGTTTGCCAGCTATATTTTTTATTCTTTTAGTTGTTGTTTTATTATTTTGCTGTTAATAACACGAACAATTAAACAATGAGCATCTTATTTTTTATCCTGATTTGTTTCAATATAATAAAGTTTACTAGAAATAAAAGAAAAATGACTTCTTTTTAGATGACAAAATCATTCCTAATTTATTTTTATAAAAAAATTATTTATCATTGTGAAATCACTTTTATTTTTTTACTATTTGGCGCGGGTCGACTTAGCATTGAAGTAATGCAACAACCTCAATTCGGCTGTTGATATTCATCCAACGATATTTTATATTCTGCAACATATATATAATGCTAACTTTGCCACCACTTCTTGAAAGAAAAAAACCTCTTCATTTTGCTGACTGATGATCATCAACATTCTACTCATTTTTTTCCCATACCAAATTATGGACCAAATATATTTTTACACTAATATTCTAAAATGATAGAAAATTTTATTTTCAAAATAATGAAAAAAACAATTTATTTTAATTGAATACAATGACTAGATTAAGATCCAGGAAGCTTAATGCTACATAAATAAAAACATAAATCAAGGCATGATGTTCAAATCAATGTTCTTCTTGGATGCTTCCTCTGAAACCAAATCAATGTTCAAGTCAATCCCCTGTTGATTCACATTGTGTTGATCAATCTGTAGATTATCCAGCACTGGTCCCAGCAATTCCCCAGCATCATTTCCACCATATATATATCCGCACCCACCAGGGTATGGAACAATCTTGCTTAGACGTATTCCTTGTACGCCATAAGATAAATTATACCGAGGTTTGTTCAAAGCTTCGATAATTTTTTTCCGCGAATCCTCACACTCCTTGCAGTTTTTGTTTCGGCTTAATGCTTGTGGAGAAACAAATTTCCTGCGACAAAAGTCGCACGAATAAGCTTTTTGATATTTCTTACTCGGATCAATAATAAATCCGAAGAGAAGGAATGGAGAAAATTCCTTGGATGAACTTGTTGATTCATCTACACCAGCATTGTTTCTAGGACTCTTTGAATTCTTAGTTTCAGCTTCCAGCGCCATCGTCTTTCGCTTGTTCTGATTCTCCATCTTTTGCGAATCGGTTACTGATTCTTCATTCACTTTCTCCTTCCCCTTGTATGAATCTTGATTAGTGTTGCTCATGGTTGAAGGAGAAAATGAAATGCTGTGTATTTTGGTGAAAATTCTTCTGAATTTAAATACATGCATTAAGAGGATTTAGATGGTAGGTAAATAAAGTAATATAGAAAAAAATCTATTGGTCTTATATTTGTATTATTTTTCTCTATTTCTTTATATACATATTTAATTGTAATAAATAAATTTAGATTATGGTAAACAAGTTTAATTTTTTTTAATAAATGTAGAAGATAAGGATACTCCCTCTCATTACCGAAAATGATAAATATAAGTACATGTTACAACTAGGTAAGAATAAACTATTAATTGTGAAAATTATAATTTTGAATTTATAATAAAATTTATGTATAATCTCATAATTTAAATCTATAGATTGTATAAATTTTAGATTTAAACTCAAATCTTATAAATGGTAAGTTCCGATCCGTGGCGATTCAAGTTAGTTTGTATGGATGTCTTTTCTTATATTGTAGATGTTTTTATAAAATATATTTTATTTAGTAAGTATTTTAAACATAGTTTTATTTTCGTTGAAATTATTTTAATAATTAATTTTATACAAATATGCTCAATATAACAATTAAAAATATAATTATAGTTTAGTATGGAAACTAATAAAAAAATAAGCATGGATGTAAAATAGTTTTAAGATATGCTCAATATAACAATTAAAAATATAATTATAGTTTAGTATGGAAACTAATAAAATAATAAGCATGGATGCAAAATAGTTTTAAGATGTATTAGTTATGTTTGCTCTATCAAAAATTAAAAGAATGCATGGATGATCACTAAGCGGGAAGATCATAGGTGGAGTCTATGTTGGATGATATTTGACATAAACAGGTTCTTTCAAAGATTTTTATTTGTGTGTGGCGGCTGTTGCATGATAAGTTGCCTACAATAATTAATTTAATCCTACGAGGTATCATTTCTCAAGAATATCAGTTATGTATTTCTGGGTGTAGTATGGTGGAGTCAGCTCAACACTTATTTTTTCAGTGTCCATTTTTCAGCTCGCTTTGGCAGTATGTTCGATCATGGATTGGTAGTGATGAAGTTGATCCTTTTCACCTAAATGACTACTTTATACAATCTGGGTTTTATGGATAAAAAGGAATAACAAGTTGTTTAAAACTAAAGTTACATCTATTCCTCATATGTTAGATAGAGTAAAGTTGATTTCTTTTTGGTGGCTAAAGGTCAAGTTCGGTACGTAGTTTATTTTTGGATTTCATTTGTGGTGGCGAAACCCCTTTGTTTATTTGGATTTAGGGTGAGGTTGTTGCTCTTGGTCTGTTGCCTTGTTGTAAACTCTTGAGGACCTTGCGATACATCTTGAGACAGAGGATCGTCTTTTTATTAATTCATTTTGATTTCTTAAAAGAAAATAAAGAATGTGTGGATGAATCCAAATCAAAAGGTTTGTAAGCGGTGACAATGTTAATCCTAAAACTAGCGCAAAGAAAGAGAGATGGACGACGAGCACTCGTTGGCTTGTAGTTTTTTCTTTGGCTTGTAGTTTTTTCTTAAATTAACTAGACTTCTCATGCCTTGGGACTTTTCATATGTAGAAAAGAGATAATATACAACGTGTTCGGAATATTTATATATGGTTTGATTACTAATTAGAGTTTTAATTATTCTGAAATGAGTCATTTTGACACTGATCAATCATATTTAACTTCGTACCTAATTAATTAAGTAATTAATTAATTTCTTGATACAAATCTAATTAGCCACTTTAGCTTTATTTGATCATGCAATTGATTAAAACTCTTAATTTTATAAATAGCTAATATAATTAATATAAATATATATACACACATAATAATTATTAAAATATAATAAATAATCGTATTTAAATATAAAAGATTCTAACAATCTATCACTTCATTTAGGTAATATATCTTAGTAATTATATTATAGTTCTCTAGACGCGTATTTGAATGCTATTTATCTTTAAATTTCAACTTTACAATCAGGTTCACCTCATACATCACTAATGGGATCACCGCAGTTGCGTCACTAGTGTATAATGTGAAGGAATTGCATTGATCACCGCACTAATGTACTTTATGACACATACCGAAATGGATGAATCACATCGAAATTTCACATAATATGATCTCTAAAGCATGTCTATTTTCAATTGATCTTAATGAAACTTTTATGAGATCAAACTCAGTTTTCAAACTAAACATTTGCATAAATGATATAGAAATAGATATAATAGTAACCTCAGAAACTTTATTTTTACAAATAATCATAACATAAATTATGAATCGATAGCAAAACAAAATTATAGAGTATTAAGAAAGAGAGACTCGCGATAATCTAAGACATTCTTAGAGACAACAATCATATGAAAGAAATTATGTGAAGTATTTGATGAATGAATTTGTTAACACAAAGTCTATATGTATATGTTCTATCGTCAATAACAATAACCTATAATTCAATGAATTTCATGAAGTTTTCAATTATCATGACGAGAATTAGAAAAAGATGAGAATTAAATGGAGAAGATGAAATGAAACTGTTATTTCTCATTGAATAAAAAAACTCTAGTTAGTTACAACTTGTGCATTTATAGTAGTTAGGGATACTAACTAACTATAAAAAACCTACAAACAGAAATAACTAACTCTATAAGAGTCATGATTCTCTATGTACGGTACATGTCAATAAAGGTGCAACTTCAATAATTTACTATCTAAGGTATCTCACACTAAGAGCTTTAACGCCCTTCCTAGAGCTTAGCATAGTATATATTAAACATGTTAAGCTTGGATATGAAAGAATTTAAAGTTCTTAAACATGTTATGTCTTCTAGTAGAAGACTGGACTGGCAGCAATATGAATTATGCTTTGGTTATAACAATAAATCACGAGTGGTTTATTGCATTGTATTTCCATGTCTTGCATCAAATAGATCAACCATTTGAGTTCACAACTAGCAAATGATAAAGCCTGATACTTAGATTTAGAGGAACTTCTAGAAATTGTTTGTTGTTTCTTTACTCTACATGATACCAAGGACGATCCAATGAAAAAACAATAGCCTGAAGTTGATCGCCTAGTGTCAATACACCCTGCCCAATCTACATGTGTGAAGCCAAGTAATTGGAGATTGGAATCTCTTTTGAAAATAGACCTCTTCCAAGCGAGTCTTTGATATATTTCACAACCCTACCGGTCGTGTCATAATAAGTTTTTGTTGGTGATGAAAGGAAGTTATTAGTTTTTGCATGGAAAAACTTATGTAAGGCCTGGTAGTTGTAAGGCATAGAAATTTTCTCACCAATCTTCTGTATCCAAAGATGTCCACATATGGTTCAGATTAATCTTGGTGCAATTTAACATATGGATCAAGAGGAGTTTTAACAAGTTTACATACAATAATACAAGTGTCTTTTAATTGATCCAAGTAATACTTAGGTTGACAAATGTTGATTTCAATTTTAGAATGTGCTACTTCTATTCATTTGAAGTATTTAAGCCTGTCAAGATCTTTGATTTTGAATTTAGCATCAAGTGTGGATTTTATTCTTTCAATCTCATTTATTGAATTACCTGCTAAGATGACATCATCCACATACTTTAATAGTTCAATGAAATTTGATGCCTTGTGAAGAGTGAAGAGATATTGGTCAGAAATGGATTGTTTACAGCCTTGAGAAACCAAGAAGCCTGTCAATTTTTCATACTAGTTCTTGTTAGCATGCTTTAAGCCATAAAGTGATTTCAATAACTTACACACTTGATTTGGTTTGGGACTGATAACCCCATATGGAACTTTCATGTACACTTCTTCATGCAAATCTTCGTGCAAAAATGCATTATTCACATCTAATTGGTGTAAATACCAAGAATCTATAGAGGCTAATGCAAGCAAATTTCACACAATGGTTGTAACACCCTATTTCCCCGTTGATAAATTATATAAAAATCAGAGTAATTTAATTTCTAAAATACAACATCAAAATAGAATGTTACATGCTTCATACATCATAATGCTCATTAATTAAGATACGTAACGCGAATTCATAACTTCAAGTCTTAAACTTCATTACATTTATTCGCAGCGGAAAATATTAATAAATAATTATTCTCAACTCTCGACATGAGTGGTACTTTTCATCATCCAAAAATCAGCATAATAATTATTCTCAACTCTCGACATGAGTGGTACTTTTCATCATCCAAAAATCAGCATAATCATAAGGTAAATTCAAAAAACAACAGAGTTATACAAAGTTTACTCCCAACATGATAAGACAAACGCAAAACCCCCAAGTGTTACGTATCAGAGAAGACACCAACTTAATTTACACAACTAAAGGAACTCCTAAGCTAAACTTCGATCTCTAGCTACTTCGAATCATCTGCACGTTACCCACGTGGAGGTAACATTCAAACAGAAAGGGTGAGATATCATAATAATATAAGAGGAAACATAATAATGAACAGGTAGAGATTCAAGTACACAGTCAACACATAACATCCTTCATAATATAATACATACTTTCATCAATATTCACCCATCGAATTATCAATCACAGTGTGATGCAAAAGACCGACACTGACTCAATGCATGTGGTACTCACAGAGTAAAGCCCTTGTCGTAATAATGCCAATTTAGGGCAATCAACTTCGCTCGCCAATACATGCCTCCGCTCGCCAATACAGGCCTTCGCTTTATGAACTCATGAGATACTATCATGCAACAACATACTTCGCATTTATCATTCTTGCTCGTCATAATTTTGCCAATTACAGGCCATCATCATCATCATTATCATGTATATCATGTCACACAATCAAAACAATCATCGTACTTAACCACAACATAAATCATGGCATATAAATAAAAAACATACCCAAGGGAATTATTTTATCTTTCCAACGGTCCAGACGGCGCGTCAAACGAATACCCGAGGCAAAAGTTATGAGTTTTAGAAGTTTTCTAAAAATGTTGTCAGTAGCAGTGGTAACCAGTT